AAAACGACATTAGCCATATTTAGAGATTTTCAGGGGCAATTTTATGACTTGCAAAATGGGGCAAAATGGATTTTCTAGTCGTTTACACGAATTAAACTCCGTTATCATGAAAGTATAATTTTTATCCAACTTTAACGTCTGAATGAAGAAAAATATTTTTTCCTCAGGAAATCCTGAAATATGCATTAAAATGTTTATTTTTAGAAAATGCTCGAAATATGTAGGAAAATATGTGTATTTACGAAAAAACCTCAAAATATGTATGAAAATATGTATATGTACGAAAACCCTAAAATATGTAAAATATGGAAAACCATGTTTGAATTTTTTAAATCATGCTTCGATAGGATGTGTGTATACGAAGTTATAGTAAGATCTGATTGGGAATGAAAAAGTTAGAAATACATACATATCCGCCCTCTGTTAATTAGTTATGTAAATTATAAACTCATATTTCAACAATGTATTTGTTTAATTATATAATTCTAAATAAGCAAATCTATGATTTACTATTTAAATGAGATTGAAATTTTTAGTAGTAATTCATTATTTAAACAAATCATTCATTATTTACCTTATCACATGATTTGCTAAGATATTTCGTAGCATTCAATTATGTCAGGGTAGACCCGGGCGCCCTAACCTTCCTCTGGAATCTGGCTCCCTGTTTTACCACATCTAAATCGGGCACTGGCCCCGAGATTGTCATGTTTTTGTCTTTGAATTCGTATTGATCAATTATTTTATTAATATAACGCACAATACGTCTGAGCTATATTACTTACCTATGCAGGTTGTTATACCATAGCATGGAATGACTTGAAATGAAATTATACCAAATATTTGCACAGCGTGGCCTTTTCAACGGAAACATTAGAAATAAATTAACTTGTTTTATCCTGTTTATGTAGAACACCCCTTTCCAATAGTGGCTATGTTAGAATTTAACTTGGTTAAATAAGCAAAATATTCACTTCCTCTCTAGGCGGCTGAATATCTTCGTATCAGTTCCAACTGGAAAACTTAAGCAGCTAAAGTACAGTATTTGCGCCGAGTTTTTATAAAACCTGTTAAGCAATGATTCTATTCTCAACTGTTCCAGTGACTCAAACTCAATTGAAGCTGATCTCGTTATGGATTCATTCTCCAGCTGCGATAAGGCAGGATACAGAGAAAAATCCGATCTTTGTAGTATCTCCACAAGCCCGACTTAAGGATCGTAACATCCTAAAAGTAAAACTGTTTTGCCTCATTGTCTATTCGGTATTTCTCCTATTCAATGGATTATGGCATTTACGATCGCCTAGGTTACAAATAGAGGAAAAAGCTCTGGTTGCATTATTCTCGCTTTGCATTCCAGGTGTAGTACTGGCAGTGCTAACTTCGTTGTACCAAAATCCAGCAGACTTTGTGATATTACTAAACATGATATTAACTAACGAGCGAAATGTGCTAAACAGTACGACACACGATTATAATAAAATTCTACGTTATGGGAAATTTTTGAAATGTGCAATTCGATTGTTAGCATTATGTGGCTCGCTGTTCATTCAAGGTTTCGTGTTGCTGCTAGTCATTGTGAAACCGGGGCGGTATCCTTTCTTAGGGTCGATAATTCTAGGTAGTTAAAAAATTAATTGGATTCTTCTCATAAATATTGCACATATTTAAAAATGGACTCTAATGGGAATCAATTTATTGACTCTTTCTGTTCCATCAGACGACCAAGGATTTGGGGGAAAATATTCCACCGAATTAAGCCGCATTGGTCACATAGTAGCAGTTCTTATTGAATTTTGGCAATATGGCGTACTCCCTCATGTGAGCATTACAGTAACTGCAAATATGCTTGTGACATCGATCATTTGTTTGTTCATTGCGCTAAAATGGATAATAAGGTAAGACAGTGGATGCTAGATAACTGATAAAAATTATATTTTAACCAACAAACATTTTATTATAGAAATGATAAAGTTGAACCAGAAGAAAGATTAATTGATCGATACAATAATCAGCTGGATAGGTACATGCAGCTTAAAATTATTGAAGCGCAAGTCAATACTTGCGCACGAAGGAGGATTCTATCAGGATTGTTCTTTATGTTTTGTGTGTGCAAAGTTATTTCTAGCTACTTTTGTGTATCGCATGCAACAAACTTGTTACGGAACGTGAAAAACCTTGTGTTTCCCTGTATTTTTGTCGAGAGTATGTTTTGTGTTCTGTTTTCTGCTGGCATGTGTGGGATGCTGAATCAAAAGTCGAAAATTATGCTCAATCAATTAAAATTTAACAGCCTGACTAAGGTATTGGATAGGAAATTACTTTATAAAAGGGTCTGTGGCTATTCTCAAATAAAGATAAAGTTTGGTAGTAACTTTGTTGATATACTGACACCTTTAAAAATGATGGTGTTGTGCATTCAATCCTTGGTGAGGCTGCTACTTTTGCGTTAATGGAAATGCTTACATATTTTTGATACGGGTGCTTTATTGTTAAACAAGTACATACAATTTACCCGTTTTAACCTAACTGCATTAATTATTTGAGTAAGCGTATGTTGTACATGTGTATGTATGTACTGCGCATTAAATCATACCTTTTTTGTAATCAATTTGGAATTCAAGAACTTTAATTCGACATTTGTATGCTGCTACTCGGTATAACTCACATTGTATAGATATTAAGAAATTCTAGGATTTAAGAAATAAAAACAAGCTCTCGAGAGAAAAATTCGGCCAAAAAGTTTAAAAAGCATCTTCGAAAAAAAACGTCACCCTTTAATTACGAACATCCGGAAGGAGCTTCTCATTTGAGCTGATGGTGATGCATGAATTTCAGAAGCACGGTATAATTCTTTGAGAACTTGGCATTTTAACTGAAGGTTGATGTAATCAGACGAAAGCTCGGACGATAAGTAATATTTCAAAATTATGCCTCTGAGACCGACCAAATAATTCTAGAGACTTCTCTATATTACCCTTCTCTATCTTTGAAGATCTGACACAGTTCCCCGTTGCAATCCTATTCTTAAAGGTCAGGATATACATATGTATGTACTTAACGAGTAGATATTTCTAACCTTTTCGTGTATACTAATCTCCAGATTTCCCTAGCATCTCACTCAGAATTCTTCGAATTATCTTTATATTTAATGTTAGTTTTAAGACAACTAAATTCGCTAGATACGATAACTGGTCGTTCCATGTGAATATATTTATTTCCATGCATTTTCGCACGCTACCTTCCCCGAAAACAATCAGTTGATTAGTCCATGGAGGACAAACACATGCATAGATAGGTCTAGAGTTGGGTAACGTCCATACATATATTACGTCTTAAATGGAACCTCGATTCAAGGTCAACGTAGCATATCCTTCTTATCGTGCTAGAGCAAGTTTGACGGTCCGAAACCCCCTACCCAGCTTTTTACGTAATATGTATATGCTCCTTTCTCTTCTGGAAGTGAAACTTTCCCGAGGCGAATTTAATATGCAAATATTCATATACATACAGATATGTTAAGAGAGTAATTAAACTAATGTGCTCGTCAGAGGAAAAAGGATGCAATTGATTTCTTAAGCTATTTATATAAGCTCTGTTCCGATTGCCTAGGCAACAAAATTCCATATGTATTATATTCGGACTCAAACTGGATGGGTACTTAGGCGACCTATAAGATTCCGCAAATTTTAACGATTTGTTAGCGTTAAGGGTTTGACACAATGAAAAACCAAGTTTACGCCTATACTTTACTTCTAATAATTAGAGTCCCCATAGGGTTGCTTAGCTTCACTTTGCAACACATTGATAGCCTACTCCCTGCTAGCTCGGTCATACATACAAATAATAGACGAGTTCAGGGTTGGACAACAAAAACCTTGGGCAACTAAAGTATTTCATTTTCTTCTGCAAAACCAAAACTATCTCAAAGTATTGCTCCACCGTGAGCCAAACCAAGGCCTCAAAGACAATCAACATTACTGGCCTTGTGCAAAAAATGAGTACATCTTTCACAAATATTTTGGTCACTCGGTGACCAAAATTTCGTTTATTTTTCTACGCCAGCTAGAAACAGCACCTGGCAACAGGGATCTGAATCATATCCGTAGAAGTTTAAGTTATTGCGGGGAAAATCCAACCTATATTTTTCTCATTATAAGTGTGATAGGTAATAAAACGTTCAAAATTCCTGCTCATGCAGTATCAACGTCTAAACTGTTTGTAATTCATGGCACGTCAAATGGTTCCGAATACCTTCAAATCTTCGTAGTCTGCCTGCCATGCAGATCGTCCTCCATGGTCGAACTAAGCGCATCAGGAATCGACCTAGCTAAGTTACTTGATTCTTCCTGGACAGCGCATAATTCCAACTTGCAAGGCTCACGAACTAAGACAGTCGGATCGGATATTTTTATCGACCATTTGCTACAACATGGTCGGATAATATCCGATCCGATCCGACGGATCGGATTGGGTCCGATCGGATACATGTTATAGTAAGTGGTCGGATAATCTCGTATAATCCGATCCCGGATCGGATGACCAACCCTAATGGGGAAGATAGGATTGCAAAGGAGTGGGATATGGTTTACTTATAACGTTGTGTACAGCAATTTTGATAGTGCTGTTACTTTATCTGGGAAATTTGAGGAATGATGAAAAACAGGAGGATGCATAATTTGACAAATATAACGAAGAATTAGGTATACAGAATAGTCACTCATATAATACTCCAGAGTGGTTTTGATTTGATAATAAATTTCTGCCGGATTATAAATTAAAATAAAATAAAAAAAGAGACTGCACAAGTAGTTAAAATGAAGTAGTTAAAATTAAATCTCCGATCCTCTCATGTCCCCACATAAACGTAGTCGATTTGCGTAACAGTGCCCCGCATTGCATGATTGTCATAGACGTTGTCTGAGTCATCCATTCCACACCTTGTTCACTCAGTTAACGCCTGCTTAATTAACGTTGTTTTACAAGTCTGATTATCATAAATGGAGAAATATACCGGTCTACAATCCGGTAAGTATAAAAAATGCTTAATTTAAGAAAATTGAATAATTCTGAGTGTAATTTGTTGTGATAACAGAACCTAAATTAGAAAATTGTGGCACGAAGTTTGAAATAAATCTCGGAAGCTGACTATACTTGAGGAATTTGTAGGTTGTTAAACAAGTTGGGATATACCTTGCCAGAAATCCAGGATGTCGTGTCGTCGTGACCGGTCACAGTTTAGGAGGGGCGATGGAATCTCTGTTCGTCTACTTTATGACAAGCCTGGATCAATTTCCTTTCACGAATTACGCCTTGGTAACTTCCGGTCAGCTGAGAACGGGAAATGTTGAATATGCCGATTACATGAATTTCCTGGATATTCCGATGAATAGAGTGGTCGCGAGGTGAGAACAGTTTAACTGAAATTCAAGGGATAGATAAGTATATTTCCGAAACTTTTTTTTGTATTTGAAATATTATCTCACAATTTTTTAAGAAATTTTCAAAATATATTGCACAAGTTAATTTTCCTCTAGGGCAGACATAATTCCCCACCTCGGTCCTGTCAGCGCCCTAGGAGTCTTTGACCTCCTCACGGGAAAAAATTGCGTGCATCATGGACAGGAAGTCTGGATTAATGGGGAGGAAATAAACTTTTGTTCGAAAACGGTCTACGAGGATCCCAACTGTTCCAACTCACTGGGACCGCTTTACACCGTTTTGGACCATCTTCAATATTTTGATGCGGATATTTCTGCCTGCTACTTGGTCGAGGGATGGCTGGACATTGACCTCGTGAGTGTGGAACGATTCACCCGGACCAGCTTCCTCCCACTGATGCCCACAGTGATGCGAGGGATTTTAATAGGGCTAGTGCAAGGAGGGTATCAATGCATATTGCCAATTTTGGATAAGGAATGTTTTTGAAGAAATCTTATTTGGTTACGTTGGAAATGAAAAACTTGTAGAATAATGAGGAATCTAATCTTTATGATAAAATTGCAAAGTTTTCAATATCTGAATTTAATTGGCTTGATGAAATAAAGTATGTAAATATTTTAGGAACTTTGAACTTTGTTTGACAAAAACCAACACTTAAAGGACAACGCGTGATTTGGGGGTCTGTATGGCCACGGATATTTTTGCACTCGATTTGAGCTTAACTATTGTCTTCCTGGCGCACCTACTACCCGTATAAGTCGAATGAAATAATAAACCCACTGGGGTATTCCACAGTGTTTTAATCAAAAATTACAAAAGTAAATTAATTAATTAATTAAATAATCACACAAATTTGGCCTATATTTAAATATTGTTCTTCCCCCATGAGATTATGGATTAGGAGTGGATATATTGTTGACCTTATGTTAGTAGTCTCATTTCCCTAATTGGTTGTATTCAGCGATTTGCAACCGTTTTTAAAATATTACCCCGGATCGCTTAAAAAATCAAGGTGTCGAGATCTTCGATTTTCTGGCCCCAAAACTGGTTGAAGGTCATTTTTTTCAACTCTACGTTATTGATTTATTATTACTCCATAATAATCTTCAAAATTAAAAAATAAAAGCCCGTGGCCATCCTGCCCCCAAAATCACGCGTGGTCCTTCCTTCGTAGGATTTACTCTACTTCAAAGTGGAAATAATAATTCAATATGTTTTGTAATATTATGTGAATGGAAAAAAATTATTCCTTGTCAATTTGGTTAAATACATATGTATGTATGTAAATATGTATGAACGATTTGTATGCATAGGTACATACTTATTTATGTTAGTAGTCGGATGACACAATCATGTTCTGGCTTATCAATTCCAACTAGATAGGCTTAAATGCAGTAAATCTTTTTTGTATATCGTCAAATATACAGATACTTACAGACACGTAAATAATCATAAGCATGCACAGATTTATGTATTTATTCTGTCGTATATAATAAATAAATACATAAATGCTCCCACGATAAATGCCCGACATGAGCATCAGTTGGTTTGTATAAACACCAACTCTATCTAAAGAACTCTCATTTACGTTTTAGCTTAAAAATTATAGTCAGCAAGGAGTATGTATGTATGTATATGTATGAGTCCCCAAATTATCCTTTACCATACGTATGAAAGGATCGTCTTGGGTCGTAGAAAACTGACAAGTTCAAAGTGGCCAGCGGTCAGGATGACCAGCAAAGTATGTATGCACGTACGTCGCAATTGCGAACATAGATCGGATATTTTGCGTCCTCCGGCCTCCGCGTACTCCGGCCTCCGGCTGGCCACGTGTACTCCGGCCTCCGCGTACTCCGGCGTCCAGAAAAAGCTGCGTACTCCGGCCTCCGGAGGCCGGAGTACGTACTCCAAGCCCGGAGTACTCCGATCTATGATTCCGAATAAATAAATAAATGTGCTCCGTACATTTTCAAGTACAACATTTTATTATTAAACCTTGACAAAGACAAAATTCACATTAATTTTTAACGGGAAACCGAACAATTTAAGATATTTTTATCTAAAAAAGGAAAAAAAACGTCTCATGTGGTGAGGTCAAAAAACACCTTTAATCTATGTGATCACCAGCAACAGAAATATTATCGCGTCAAAAATTAAGTTGTCGAAATGTTAGGTTTTTCGCCGACAAAGGTGGTTGGAAGTAACTTTTTTCAACTTTACATTAATTTTTAATTAATTTTTATTACTCTATCATAACATTCAAAATTAAAAAATAAAATCCCGTGGCCAACCAGCACCCAAACAAGTTCCTGGTCCCTCTATCCCCCAAAAAAGATAACTCCTCTTCATACGCAGAGAACGTTGGTGAGATAGCCCAATTAACTGCGAAATAATTATGTTATGTACATTGATTTACTTAAAGTTTTTTGTATCTGGGTTTTTGTGTCCGTCAATGAAAACCAGTCAATATTAAGGTCACTTCATCTAAAATGAATGATATATCAGTATTTTGGTACGAATAAACTCTTTACGCAGAAAATGTATATCGTCAACAGTTCTTGGTAAATAGGTAAATATTTAATTTCAGATACACTATAACGAGTCAAATTGATGCATAAGCACAAATTATCACCAGTACGAGTTTACTCAATCTCGTCACAGCATGCTATTCACAAAAATATCAAGCTTGTTCGGCCTTTTGGTGTGGTTGAGTTACACGATTTGTTCCTCAAATTGTGCTACATTCACAATTTACGAGGACGCCTTCCGTACAAGCAAGAAGACCTTTTTGTGGTGGGGCGGCGGGGCTTATGACAAGTTCTCCGTTGGCCTGGGCGAATGCATGACGCTGGGTTCCTACAATGATAAGGCCTCTTCCATCGACCCACATGGAGGTACGTATCTATTTATCAAAGCTTTAAGCTAGAAAACAATTAGAAGAGTATTTAAATATTGAAAAATTGTAATGTCAAATTTCCATTAGGAATTACTAGACACTGAAAATGGAGGTCTCCCAACGTATGCTCACAGATTTTGGCCAAACTAGCGTCAATCGATCACAAATATAATTAGTAGGAAATTAGCAAATGGAACTATCTGCAAATGCGCAGGTTTTAGCGGAGATATTTGCATAAAAAGAAAAGAAAACACACATAACGGCTGGCAAATTATTCATGTTCCAAATTTTCTGCGCATTTTTCCCTCTTTGGATGCAAATATCTCCGCCGAAGCTCCGCATTGGCAGATAGTTCCATTTATAAATTTCCTACTAATTTTATTTGCGATCGATTTACCCTAGCTTGGATAAAATCTGTGAGCATACGTTGGGAGACCTCCATTGTTATAAGCATAGACAGAGGAAAGAAATGTGTATATATTTCTACTTATGTATCTTATAGGTTGCATAAAAGTATGGCGAGATGCTGGTTGTTCCGGTCCCTCCATGATTATTACGGAGCAGCGCGGTTGTTCCAAAAACCTGGCTACTTGTGACATTTCCAACTCAGTCGAAGCGGAGAAGGAACAAAGGGTCACATGGGATAACAGTATTTCTTCCATCTCCACCTGTTCCAAGGAAGAAGCTGTCGACCCCGTGGTAGACAACGGAGACCTCGTCGCGTATAATCCCCGGAATTCTGCAGATTTCTACAAATATGTATTCCAGCTGGTCACACGGCAAAAGTTTAGCGTTTGGTAATATGGGGAAACTGTTACGATATATATTTAGGCATACATACATATACTTATATAATTTTGAATTTTGGCGACATCCTGACCGCAAAAATTTTTGTGGTCCGTTTAGTAAAACCGTAGCCTTTTTTGAATGCAAATACGAAGGTTACAGCTTTAATATATTTAAAAGGTGTTGATTTAATATCTCCCCGTTTTATCCTACAAAAAAACGAAAGCTCATTTCTCAAAACTGTGAGACGCAACGGACCCCAATTTATTTCGATCTGTCATACTGCACCACCCATGGTAAAATTTTCTAAAATATACATTTACAGGTACATGAATTGTGGCTGAATTTGCCGCCTAAAAACTGACTGGGGAGAAATTAAATCAACACCCTTTATCAACCAAAGAGTGAAGTTTGCCTAACCGTACTTATTTACTTTAAGGCTGTGCCTCCACACGGACTGCAAGCAGCAAGAGAGGATCCATGCTCAGGCGAGGAGTGACCAATGTGCAAATTTTGGCCTAACCTGGGACCGTCAAGTATCCGCAGTTTATACTATTTACAACTGTGTGGAGCTCTTTGAGGAGAAGGATTGTCGCGGTGAATCCATCCGGTTCAGAAAATCCGTCTACTTGTTCTCATACCCAGGGTTGGATGAATGCAAGAGTGACCGGTGCCGCTTACGAGAAGGGAACTGGAATAATAAAGCGAGATCGATGAAAAAATGCTGATTAAGCCGTTAAGGTTTTATAATAAATTTCCTACTAATAGTTCCAGCATCTTGCTTCCGTCAGCTTGGATCTAAATTAGAAATACACATTTTTTAACCATTTCTACTTCACGACCCTAGTATCCAATAGCATCGAAGCAATCCAGTAATCATTTTTTAATAATAATTTTTAATATGTACGTTGCAACCTAATGTTCGAAACATTCGAAATCTCAATAATGGAGGGTGATCTAGCCAGATTTTACGTCTAACTGTATCTGCTCAATCATTACTATGTAAATAGTATAGCTAAATTTATGAAAATAAATTGCTCAAAAACTTTCTGTCATATTACATACTAGCTAATAAGCCCGTCTACGGCGGGGCATATAAGTTACACTATCAGCGTGAATTATTGTCGGCAACGGCAAAAAAAGATAACATCCCTAATTAGTATATAGAGCTTCGTGACGGATGTAAATTACAATGCATAGTCGTACAACCCAACGATAATTAGTTACCTCAAAAGACCATATTGTGGTGTCAACCCTGATTATTTATTGAGAAAGTACAAATTTATAGCGAAAAATTTCGAACTTTACAAATCCAATACCAAATCTAATTGATTCCAGCCAACACATGACAATAGCAAAATTATTGGCGATAAGCCTTATAAGATTATACAAATAATACATGTTATTATTATACAAAATTTAATTTAACACCTCCTTAAATACTACATTTTTGGTAAACACTTTGTCGTTTCCTGGTATTAATTTACCTTGGACGTCCCATATAACTTCTCGTTCCAGATTCAAAAATTCACACTGCCTGGCCAACCAAGCAACTGAACCAATACATATCACTATGGGCCAGATTTGATAAATTTTGGCCGAAAATATATAGAAGCCGAATTTGAAGAAACAAGAATTAGATTTTGGTGTACAACAATAAACTAAGGCATATATAATGCGAGAAATTTTTAAATAGTCACATGCCACAACCCCAGTGGGTGTGGCCCTCTGGGACTTTTCGGTTTTAACGAAACCATGTCATATGATATATAATTTTTCTCAGCTCGACGAGGTGATTTCGACGGAATACCTAAAATTGGGAAACTGCACCCACAGTGGGTGTGGTTCCCAGAAAATTTTCGATATTTTTACAAAACCATGCCATGTGATATATCATTTTTCTCAGCTCGACAAGGGGGACTCGACGGAATACCTAAAATTGGGAAACCACACCCCCAGTGGGTGTGGTTCCCAGAATTTTTTTTTACTTTAATCAAACCATGCCATGTGTTATATTATTTTTCGCAGCTCAACAATCGGATTTCAACGGAATGCCAAAAATCAGCCTTCAGCGACTTTTCGATTGTAACTAAACCATGTCATGTCATCTCATGTAATACATCATTTCTCTTAACTAAACGAAGGGATTTCGACAATGTATATCAATTGCATTGCGTAAATTAAGAAAATCCCACTTTGAAAATTGAAAATTTTAATTTTTCACAAATCTCACATTTCTCGCTGCATTTTATAAAACCCCCCAGATCCCCTCGTCGAGCTGAGAAAAATTATATATCACATTACATGGTTTCGTTAAAATCGGCAATTTGGTTAGAGACACACCCACTGGGGGTGTGGTTAATAAATTTTAATAATTCTGTCGAGATCCCCTCGTCGAGCTGAGATACGTGATATAACACAAGGGATGGTTTAATTAAAACCGTGAGTTTTCTTAGAATCACGCCCACTGGGGGTGCGGTTTCCCAATTTTAGGCATTTCTCATATTAAAAGTTTTAAAGATCCTTATTACCACACCCCCTGCGTGCGTGCTTTCGAAATTTCGAATTTTCTTTATTTTTTTTGTTAACCTCTAATTACCGAGTCATATATGCCGCATGCTAGGATTTATTAACTAAATTTTGGTCCAATTGACCACACCCTCGTGGGGTGTGGCTTCCACGTTTAGAAATGTTACTTTTATTGTGATCGTCTTGGACTACCGAGCAAAATGATATGTCGCATGACAGGGTTTACCTATAATGGGGGGCATTTATAGCCCCACCCCATGAGGGGGTGGTTTTTGGATCTGGATGGGCTGTCGATGGACCCTCTTATCGTCCCCATCAAATCGATATGTCGCTCAAATCGATATGATGATGTTTACCGCGAATGCAATTAAATGACATCAATTTAAGTCGTTACTTATTTCGTTATGTATGTGACTTGGAAGGGGTGTGGTTGGACCTGTATTCGAAAGTGGCAATTTCCGGCACCAGCATTTATTCTCCATACCAGAAGCTCTCGAATGGTACAAAAAGCAGGTTTGTAAAGCACGGAAATGGACGGAAATGCTAAAGGGCGTTTCTCCCTATCTCCGCAATGTATTTGGTAAAGTTTACCCCCATGGTACTCCGGAGTGGGTGTAACTTTTCACTTAATATTATGCATTTAGGACAACATGGTAGTGTAGTCCATAATCGTATATGAGATTAGCCAATTCAAAGTACTGCCTTAACGGCCACATTTTTGGTCTCCTGGCCCATTGTGCATAAGTGTGCAGCCAGCCTCAATTTCTTTCCGTCGAACCAAAAATATCATCGGGATATTGGGGGCTTATCTAACCTACATAATCACCACCCCTTGATAGCCACCACGCCTAAATAACCATGAGACCCTTCACGACGTATCACACCTTATCACCAATCATTATATGTTATGGGATTTGATCCCGGTGGCTCGGCCCGGCCCGGGCGGCCCGCCTGGCCACCTGAAGTGTTGTACCACCAATAATAGTGGAATTTGACACCTTGGTCCTAACACAATATATATTGACATATATTTATACTGAAAAGGTTTGAAATGACCAATACTTTAAACCGGCTCAGATTCACGTTTTTTCAAGCCAACCATTCCTAGGAAACTACTCGAAAGCTAAAATATGGGGGTGGAGTTATCAATGCCGAATTCAGTTTTGAGATTAATACAACTTTTAATACTTCAATGAATATAATTATTTTCCTACAAAACTAACTTTCAAAATTGTAAAAAAGTAATAATTCATTGTGGATGGAATTTATTCTGATAAAATGAGCTAGCATTATTTCTGGAAATCGGTAGAATTGTAAAATTTTGGGTAGATATACGTGGGTGTTTTATTATTGATTTTCAAAAGGTATGTTCCGCACTGTTTCTGACCAAACTTTTGATGAAATAATAAACTTCAAATACATTTAGGATGCTGTGATTTTTTTCAGTTCTGTAGGTTAACATTAACACTAGCAATAGCTCATCAAAATTTACCTCGAAAATATGCCAAAATTTACGACTTGATTTCGTTATCATCAGAAAACCGTTTCCCCCTGATGTCTTTCTTTAAGTTTCGAAACGAATAATAATCACCAAGGGTCATGTCTGGACTGTACAGGAGGTGGTTTATCTAGGTGAAGCGATTTCCGTCTGCAGCAGCCCTCGCAAAAGCCAGGTATGAGGTGGCGCTTTGGCGTGCTAAAAATGCACCAACTCTTTTCTTTGACCCCACGTTTTTCTTCAACCACAGCTCACAGCTCCTTCGAAATTCCTGCATAGACTGCCCCATTTATCATAGTATTTTTACCAATAAATGTAATAAGGAGGGGACCTTTGGTATCCTTGAAAATGGGAATCATCAATTTTTTGGCAGGTTTTTGCACTTTTGCTTTCATGGGCGGTGGCGACCTCCCGTGCTTCCATTGTGTGAATTATTATTTGGTCTCCGGGTCATAATAGTAGAGGGTGCTTTAGAATTAACGCAACTGTTTTCATATGCATTTATCTAAGGTTATCAGCTTGCCCCAAATTCGAAATGACCGTCATCATGTAGCACATACATCCATCGACTAAAATCCGAAAACCGGAAGTCGATATCTCTTACCGTTCCAAAATGAGGTCAAAAACTAGCGAGCAATTAGCAAAAGCTGTCTGCCACTGCCACTAAAAAGTGGTTACGCACTCCATAAAATTGAGCTGTAGTTACTTTAAAAATCAACTAATTCCAAAATCGAAACTTTGCCATATCCTACTGAAGTATGAGCTACAAAAACCAGTTAACCACAAAAAAATATCTTGTCGGCCCATTCGTGTGGCAACTCTCGAAGTGGCAAAACTCGCATATATAGAAATCTGCACTGTCGGAGCGTGATTTGATTCCGTAATTGAAGTTATCACCCAACATAATATATTATTTTAAAGCTTATTAGTTGGGTATCAAATCCTACTAGGTTTTGTAAGCCTATGAATGCAGTGAAGAGTACAATTAAAGTAACAAACAAAATGGCAGAAAAAAGACTCAACCTGAAGTCATCAAAATTGGACGTCCCGTACAACACGATTTACAGTCAAGATCATCAAAAGGATTTTATTTTCACATAGCTCAACTCTCCTAGCTTCAAGAAAACTATATAAGCAAAACTTGAAAATAAATCTAAGCAAAATTATCCCGATCCGCCTGAAAACGGATCAAATGCAATTAACATGGGAGAGGTGAATAACGTTCCCAAATTTGCCCAATACTAGACCCATTCAACAATTTTAGCCTTTATCCAGGAAATAATGTTATAGTCTAAAAAGTTCAGCCGAAAATTTGAACTTATTTCATAAAACGAGGACGAAAATCTCAAAAACGGTACCCAAAAACAGTGGCGAAGCACTAGTCGGGAGCGTCCGACAAACGCATCTCCAGATTGAACGGGAAGGGGTATAGGAACCATCGAAAGCAAAAAATAATTAGTTTGAATCCTTGTCTTTCTTTATACAAAATATCGTTTAAATAGATATAGTACTTTATTTTTTATATGCAAATGAAGAAAGTTGCGCTAATTCCAAAGCACCCTCTAAACCCAAGTATCATATCCAACTATTAAAATATAAATCAAGTTCCAGGTTTCATTTGAAAGGGCAAAAGTTTCATTCCAAAAGTCGATTCGATCCTGTTTTTGAGATGCCGAAAGCAATTTTGGTACCCAACGGGAGGAAGCCATTTTCATACCGAAGAATTCAGTTAACATAGAACAAATTGTTGGTTTTGGAACACCCATCTCATCTGCTAAATAGGGCAGTTTCAATCGCGGATCTCTCATTATTGGTTCCTCTAGTTTCCGGAGCCTTTCTGTGGGAGAAACAGATTTTGGGCGTTCTAGCGGCTTTTTGTCCGAGACTTTTTTTCGCCATCATTTGAAATTATTGACGCAATTGAATTTGTGTTTTGTGTTGGGCAGTTTTCATCGTAAATTTTAAGCATTCGATCATAAATCTGCGACACGTATTGCCCCTCCAGCATTAAAAATTAAATCACGCTACGATAT